TTCGTAAGAAAATACGAAACTTTTATAGTTTCGTAGTGGACCTTATGGTTTCGTCTAAAACCCTACTGCGAAACCACAAGGTTCACTACGAAACTATAAAAGTTTCGTATTTTCTTACGAAACCTTTTTTCGCCCTACGGAACCTAAAAAAGGTTTCGTAAAAGATGGTTCCGGCGGTGTGCCCGCGGTCAGATCCTTTTAAGGTTTCGTAGATTTTGATAATCATTTATTTAAGCGTTTGAACGCATTTAGAAGCTTTTAAGCATCTACGAAACCTTTTTTGAGGGTTCGGTAAAACTCCTTTTTTTTTTACAGTGCAGACTATAGCTCTGAATCGGACAGTAAAACTCAAGTTGTATTAAGCATTTATCAATCTACAGCAACTTATGTTTTCACTTTTTTGCCATGATTGAATAGACCTGGACGAGTTACTTAAACCAAAGACATCATACCTCAGTAACCTCAATATTTATCCGAATTTTTCTTGATTTTAATCATCATAAAGTTAGGAAAAAAAGATTATGCATATCGTTTGAAAAATACTGTTTCCTATTAACAAAATTGACTTTTTCGATATGATCGCAAGATGCCTGAAATAAAGCTTTTGACTATTAGAACTTCAGTTTCGAAAAAAACGAATCTCATATTTTGAGAATAGGTACAAAAATCTGTATCGAATAGTATACTTAATGCTCAAAACTAATCTTCGTCCAATTTTGGTCCTGATAATCCTTCAGTGTTATTTTCGAATAATGTCACCTATAATTCTTCTAAAATCAAAACTTGACACACATAAGTTTTGAATATTCAATATAGATTTTTGCACCGATTCTGAATATGATATTCTACCGGTTACATCAGACAGAGAAAAAATTAATGACAAAATTATCTCATTATTTCTACACTATGTATTAATAATACCTAGAAGAATCTCTTATGTTATTCTTAGAATGCTGATGTCTTTGAACAACAAGTTGAAGTATTGAATGAACAAATCAAAAGTCAAATGTCTAACAAAATTCCATCAGAACAGGATTATTATATCGATTTTCCGATAATAAATTATGTTTATGCTGATGTAGAAACATGGAAACAAATACAACGTGAACGACGTTTATTTTATAGAAAATGTAATGATCTACATAGTTTACTTACATTACAACGACTGTAAATACATTTTTTCTTTATTTCGATATATTATCATAAACTATTTCTAGTATGACAAATCACTTTCTCAATCTTCTTCAGTCACTTATTCACGATCCTAACTTCTTGCAATCAAGTGGTCGAGATGCTTTCCTTGAGTTATTTCGTTAGTAAGTATTTTTATTTATAACTGTTTGTTATAATAGTCTCGATCGTTTAGTTCTTTAATCATTGTTGCACAGCCATCTGGTACTGATTGTATAGCAGTGACGAAATATGAGAAAGTTGGCAAAGATTTCTTAGCAAAAATAAAGACACGAATTATTTGTCTACTAAATCTAAATGAAATCGGAAAATATTTGCAATATTCAAATATTGGTAAGATTAATATCATACAAAAGTTTGGTTGTTTTTTTGTGAAACACAATTAAAAAATGAATATTCAGGTGTAGAGAGAGAAGAATATATGAGCTACTTGCTTATTGCATTTCAGAAAGATTAAGTAAAAGACTAGCAAAGAATAGAATTAGGCAGAGTGACATTTTTTTTCTCACCCTATACATTGATTAAGAAAAAATTTCTGATTCTTTTTCTACACAATCAAAAAACATTGATAAAAATACGCAATTTTACAAGTCAAAATATATGTTTTTTACGTTTTGAAAAAAAAAGTATTCAAACAAAAGTGCAAATCGGAAGAAGCTACCGCTCACAAGTTTGTTTTTTTTTTTTTTTTATAAAAATAAAAATTATTTTCCTATCGTTTTTTCGACGTAAAAAGAACACATTTTAATATATGAAAATAAGCTCTTGTTTGACTGAAAATGTTTACTTTATTCTATGAAGTATTTATATCACTCTCTCTTAATACATATACTCTGTCCTCTAGACTGAGAACAACTTTATAATCCTTACTTTATTCTGCAGATCTCTAGTGAAGAAATGTTTACCAAAATAGTTAACATAAAACAAGATTTCTGTGATTAGGAAGAACAGTTATATTGAGTTTCATATGTTAATGTTGCAGGTTTTGTACGAACAGTTTTATTATTAATATTTCTATTTTCTTTTGAGATGTTATACTTTATCCAAAGGATCGTAATTGTGATCCTAATGGTGATGTACAATCATCACTTCAATGGAAAACACGAACAATCATTAGTAGTGAACAAGAAGAACAAATATTTTTCTATGTTGAGCTAAATGAAAATGATTCCATCAAATTAACAAAAAAGAATTCTAAAAATAAACTTTTGTACAATCATGGATTATGTCAATTGGAATTTCGAACAAAATTTAAAGTAAGATTTTAATTTATTTGTACAGATAAAGTTGAGATTTACACAAAATTAACCAGATTTTTTAAAAATAAAAATTCAAAAAAAAAAAAAAGAATTAATACATAAAGTTATGTTTAGTTTTTATTGAAATCGAGGAAATCGAGGAAATTTGTAGAGTTTGTCAGTGTTCGTTGTGGTCAAATAATAATAAATGTCTTCTCTTAGAATTTAACACTCCAAGCATTTAAAAATGTGTTACTTCATTTGTTCATAAAGATACTTTCAAAAATCATGTTCCATTGTCAATACAAAAGAAACCATTTTTGCATATATTACAGTATGAATAAATGAAAATAAATATTTTGCCTGTGACATTTATATATTTATATAGATAACTGGATATGATATAGAAGAAACTATAATATTAAATTCACAATTATTTGGACTATGTTCACATGCAAAATATTATCCAACATTGTTGGCTAAAGTTTTTATCGATGAAATTAACCAAGACCATCGGAATGTAAGTCATATATATATATATATATGTTTCAATAGGATAGTTTCATTAGTTATTGATTTTTCTTTGTTTAGATTGCTCTCGAAACACATATCAACACTTTGATAGGATACATTTGTAAGTTTCATAAACGTCTTTCAAATGTTGAAATAAAGTCTCATACTCAACAATTTATTGAAGAAGAATTACAAGAAGTTTTTAATATATTTCTTAAATCTGCAAGTTCAATAAATGCACCTGTAATGATTTTTTCCTTAGAAATTTATCAAGTAAATTAATAATTATTATTATGATTCTCCTTTATTTTTGTCATTGATTTTAGAATATTTTAGAAAAATTATTTACTCAAATAAAATTTTTAAATAATTATTCTTTTCTTGCTATGATGTATTATGATAGGTAATATTAAAACTTAATTTATTTTTTATTGAATTTTTCATATATTACTTTTTTTTTTAGTCTATTTCATGGTATATGTAGCGATAGAATTGATAAGAAATTGAATAATGTTATTCAACAAATACCTCAAATGATAATGCGATTTGAACAATTTAAAAGCCAAAGAACAGAATATCCAAATATTATTTTTGCTTTTTATGATGGTTTGTAACAAATTTCGATAAAAAATTTTAATTGAAAAAGATTTATTTCATATAGGTACATTACGAAAAGCACGTACTACTCATGAATATTTTATTGAAGATATATGTAGATGTCTTTGTAAAGCAATAAACAATGATAAAAATCAATTACAAGTATTTAATGAAAATAGAATGATTCCTTTTTATTATTTTCATTGGTATCATGGTAAGACTTGATAATATTCTTAAAATGTATTTTTTTCAATATGATCTATTTTGAATTTATAGATAATGATTTAAATCGTGATAATTTAATTCAAACTGATGATGAAACAATTTTTTATCCATTACAAACTCTTCTTCAAAGTACAATATAAATATTATTGAATATCAATAATATTCTCTTTTCTTTTTTTTTAAAAGAAATGATAGATAATAATGCATTCATTTGACTTATTTTTTATTTTTTTATTTTATTTAAAACAAAATATATAACAAAGAATATTTTTATTTATTTATGATATTTTTGTTTTTTCATTCAATTAAGTTTGTTAAAAGTTCTAGATATACCTTTTATCATGCCGAAGGCGAAAATCTTCAAAATTTAAAAATTTATATTCAAATTATTGTAAGTATATTAATTTTCAGACAAATTTCTAAATAATAATGAGATTGAAAAGTAGAATTTATCTACGTAGTGTATTTGATATCATAATTGATGTTGTTTAATTTGATAGCAATTGTTTTTTTTTGAAAGAAGGAGAATTCATATTTCTACTTTCAAGGTGAGAAAACAAGGTTAAAAAAATTATTCTTCATCTAAAAAATTAAAAGCAATACACTTCAGTCTTTTGTATGAATTAAGACAACATACTTGATTTTTTCACTGAAAGCCAGTCAATAATGGTTAGAAGAATGACGAATTTTTCAACAATTGCCTTCAGTTTTGTTTTTTTTTTTTTATTACGTTTATAATATTTATATTTCAATTTTTATTTATAGTCTATTAAATTATTAAAAGAAAAGACGACGATCAAAATAAAATAGTTTATTATAAAACTAATTAGATATATTGTATTATTAGAAGACGAAAATTGTTAAAAAAAATATGACAACAAATAAAAAACAAGCATCAAAACGATCTGGTATTTTGTTATTATAAATAAAAATTTTTATTTCATATGATTTTATTTATAGCAACACGACGTTCTTCAATCGATACCGAATATATCAATACTGATGTTTTACAAACTGAAATGAATTGGTTAAATGATTATGAATTTCTATCACCAAATGAAATATATATGAATGCTATAGGCCTCATATTTAATTTAACAACAAAACGTCTTATTCATATATCATTTATGAATTTTTATCAACGAAGGTATGATCTATAATAGAAATAATTCTTATTTAAAATTATTTGATATTAGTTTAAAATTTACATGGATGAATTTATTGAAACGTGAACGACAAAAATTAAAATCAAATATTAATTCAGTAGAAAAATGTTTTATGATTAATCGACTTATTGCTGAATGTAAAAAGGTAATAAAATGAATTATTTAGTAAAATTTTTATAGAGACTAATGATAAATTATAGAAATAATTAGTATACACAATTGTGTTATTTTCTTTTTTTTTAAGGATCCTTGTCAATTTGCTCGACAAACAGGAGAATTATATGAAGAAATTGAAATGAGAATATCATGTACAATATCATTACCAAGGGTAATTTATATTGAATATAGGTCGCGACTAAGATTGATAATTTCTTTTTATAGACAGTAGAAGATTTTTATAGTCAAGTAGAGCTTCGGATAAATTTACAATCTCAAAGACGTTTATTTCATATTAATCATGAGGAAGCAAATCGGCCACTAAGTTTACTTGCTCTACAACAAGCGTAAGAATTTCATGATAATTCTTATTCATTAAGTAAATTTCACATTTTTAGTGCAACGAAAATTTATTCTCATTTTCTCAATTGTTGTCAACAAAATCTTAACAAACAAAATTATGATAATTTAAAAAAACTTTTACAACAGTTAGAAATTATCTAGATTTTCATCAATGTAGTTTTCCTTTTTTAAATATTTTTAGTTCTTTTATTATTATTAATCAACCATCTATTCCAGAATGTGTTGCAGCTACTAAATATGATAAATCGGACAATACATATTCTGCTAAATTGCATGCACGTATTATATGTTTATTAGAACCAGATACAGTCAAAAATAGTTTACAGTTTTCAAATGTTGGTAAGAATATGAATATATGATAGCTATAAAATCTAATTTTTTCGACATAGCTGTTACACTTTTCCCCTTCGATCGTAAGTTGGATTCATTTGGAGAAGAACAACAAGCACTTATATGGCATAAAAGACGAATAATTGATCCTGAAAATGTACTTCGATCATTTTTTTATGTTGAACTTAAAACTATTGAATTAAAAAAGTTTGATCGACCTAAATCACGACCCGTATATAATGCTAATATATGTCAATTGGAATTTCAAATCAAAATTCGAGTAAATAGATCATTGAAATACGTATATTTCTTATACTAAATATATATATATATAAATAGATAAATGAACTTAATATTGACGAAAATCTTACATTGACTTCAAAACAATTCGGTATCTGTTCACATGCTCAATACTATCCTGAATATATTACTCAAATACTATTACATGAAGTTGAGCAAATATCACAATCTGTATGAAATACACATATCATTTATATTTTTAGAAATATGTTTCTATTGATTTTTAGAATAGTTCTATAATTCACCCTAACATTCTCACACATTATATTCTTCGATATTATACTCGTATCTCAGGTGTAGAAGCAAAACCTCATACTACTCAATATATTATGAATGTTTTACAAACAGTCTACGGTTGATAACATAAAACAAAAATTATAAAATTCATATATGTAAATATTTTTATAGAGAAAATAACAATATCTCAATTTACTACTTCACTCGATATCTACCAAGTAAAATTTTTTTTACTCAAGGCATACTAAAAGTAGTGGCACAGGTATTTTAATGTCTCGTAGAAAGATTAATGAACCTTACTCTAAAAATTTCATTAAGA